CGCCCCAGGGTGATATACGGCTTTCCAACCTGCTTAGAATAAAATCCTCCCTACCACCGCCGAAGGGCCCGCACCTGGTCTGGCGCCTGCCCTCTTCTCCCACCGTCTCTGGCCGCCTTCTTCTTCCTCTCTCCTCTCCTCCTCCTCCTCCCCCTCTCCTCCCCTCCTCTCTCCTCTCCTTCCTCCTCTCCTCCACCCTCCTCTTCCTCCCTCCTCCCCTCCCTCCCTCCTCCCGCCCTCCTCCTCCTCTCCCCTCCCAGTCCATCCCCTCCTCCTCCCCTCCCTCTCCCTCCTGCCACCGCCTTCCTCCTCCTCCCCCTCCCCTCCTCCACCCCTCCTCTTCCCTCCCTCCTCCTCCTCCTACTCTTCCTCTCCCCTTCGCAAGGCTTCTCCTAACCCCTTTCCTCCTCCACCCTCCGTCCTCCCTTCCCTACTCCCCTCCTCCTCCTGTCTTCCTCCCCTCCTCCTCCGCTCTTCCCTCCCTCCCCCCTGCTCCTCCACTCGGCAGCCCTGGAACATCCCCCCCAACACCCAGCCACCTGCCGTCCACTGCCATCTCTTCGGCGCCAGGCCACAAAATGCCACCTTCCTGAGGAAGGAAGTGTCTCTCCCCCTCCTGCCAGGCTGCCATTGCCCAGCTCCACCTCACACTGGCTCTTGCACATAATTTAGCGGGTCTCTCCCTGCCTCGGGTGCGCGTCCAGCTCCGCCCGCATCCGTTGGAGCCGGACGCGTCGGCCTTGTCCACCCCGGTCCCCGACGGCTGAAGCCGGCGGTCGCACCCCAGCAAGGTGGCTCGCAGACACCTGGATCGCGACGGCAGGGACACCTGCCGGAACGCTCCAGGCTTTCGTTCAGCGAAGCGGCCACGGGCTCCTTCAACCCTTTTACTCGGACTCGGGGCTCTTCACACCCTTTATCGGAAGTGTTCCGTGCCCTTTAGGAGCGCGGCTCAGTGCGCTTTGTAAGTGCTGTTCGATACCTTTCATGAAGGTCACCCGGATGTGCGGTAGCAATTTACACCCCTTCAGGCGCCTGCGAGAGTCACAAGATAATCTAAGCAGAGAACCAGGGGGGCTGGGAAAACAAGGGCGGATGGGTTATTTTATAACGACCAGATCACACTCATTTTTCATCAGACGTGTACACCTGCCAACCTACCTGTGTAACTGGAACTTAACACCTGCTTGAGGCGAGAGCGAACCAGGGCCCACCTGCGGCCCTCCCGAGCGGGCCGGACCTGGGGGCGCTTCTCACCTGCAGCAGTGGCCGGGACCGACGCGGATGCTGGCTGTTGCCCAGCAACGCCTCCGCGGTAGTGGTGCCACCTGGTCTGATGCATTAGGGAATCCTCACCTAGCTCAGCGGGGCCGGCTCTTGCCTCCAAGGTGGGAGGGTTGTTTAATGAGTGTGCTTGGTGGTCCAGGCCCCTCGGGCTGGCGGCCCCCACATCTGGATGGCAGCCCCCACATCTGGGTGGCAGCCTGAATGGCCCCCCGTCCCTCAGTTGTTTGGGGCCCTGTGCCTGTGAGAAGACACTGTCCCATCTGCAGAATGTCCAGCCCCACGGTAAGTCAGAGGGACACAGCCCTAGAAATGTCCCCAGCGGGGCTTGCACGCCGTGCCGAGTAGCCGGGTCCCTGGGACTCTGGTGCGTGGTTCTGTCGGTCTGTTCATGTGGGCAGAGAACCCAGGGGAATCTTGCACCCCAGAACCTGGGGAGGGCCCCCAAATCTGTGCTCTCTGGAAACCAGTGGGGCTGCCAGGGCCACCCTGCCACGGGCAGCGTCTCTCTCTCCTCCTCTCGGTCGGAGGCTGCCGAGGCCGATTGTTCTGCTTGTGTCTGGCCTTGGCCTCCCTCCACGGCCCGGCCTTCCCAGCGCTCCCGCCGTACACGCCTCAGAAGTTCAATCCCAGGGTAGCCAAAAGCATGAAGCTGCCGCAGAGAAAGGCAGAAAAACAACCAGGAATTCTAAGCAGCCTGCCCTCCTCGGAGGCTCGGTCTCCCTCGTCAGAGCTGTAAACGGAATCTGCTTGTAAATCATGACCGGACTGTTAATCTTATGCTCAAGCTCATTCCTGATAAGTGAGATGCAAGTTTAAACGATGTCTGGGTGCCATTCCCCACCTTCGATTGGCCGAGAGCCAAAGCCAGGTCGCACGCCACGCTGCACGCGTGGGTCACACGGGCCGGCTGTCCTTGTGGTCGGGGAGGGCACTCTGGCGGCTGTCAGAATGAGAGATGCACGTATCCTTTGCTCCCGCACTTCCGCTCCTAGGAGCCGTCTGCAGGTGCACTCCTACGTGTGCAGAGAGCCCCGTGGACAGGAGTGGCACTGTTTGCAAAAGCAAAAGATTGGAAAGAACTAAACCTCCACCAATAGGGACCTGGTTACATATAGCACGATATTTTAATACGATAGACTGTGCAGCTGAACAAAAAGAAAGAGGAGTTCTTTATGCACAGAAAAGAAAACAAATTCTAAAATATATTATTAAACTAAAAAAGCAAAGTACAGAGTAGTATATATAGTAGTACGTATATACCATTTGTGCAGCAAACGCGTGGGGGGAGCGTGTGTGTAATTGTTTGCGTGTGCGTAGGATGTGTCTGTCGGGGAGAACTCAGCGCAGAAAAAGACAGGGCTGGGGGAGAGAGTTTTATACCTTTAAATTTTAGGACAATGGGCAAGGATTCCCTATTCAGAAACTGAAAAGCACAGCTCTGCCTGTTCTTTTCCATGCAATTCTGATGTGAAAAAGAGCACTGCTAGTGGCACTTCCCCTAGTGGCACTTTGAGAACACCTCCTTTGGGGTCTAGAAGGCACCCTGCTACCCCTGTCAAAGAACAAAATTTCAACAAGTTGAATTTTAAAGCTCTGATTGGCTCTTATTCATAATCCATGGATCAGGCAGCAGCCCGTCCCCAGGACCGAAAGGCAGCTGTCTGCTGGGCCAGGGGGGGCCCCACAGGCAGAGAAGGAGCAAGGCCAGGTGGGTGGGCTCAAAGTTACTTTCCTTACGGGGTTAAAGCAGAGGGGACGTCCTTACCTGCTGGCACTGGCTGCCTGGGCCCCTTTTGAATGGTTGCCGTGAGTCTCCCATTGTTGGAAAAACCACCTGGTTTCTCGGTTCTGTGCCACCTGCCACGAGTGGCTCCATCTGGTGTGGTCTGCTCTGTTGGGCTGATATAGGAGCTCGGTGCAAACTTCCCGTCACTTCAGTTCCACACCCCTCCCTGCCACCTTCCAGGCCTCTGTGGCCCCTCCCTGGACCCCTCCCCAACTCTAGGTATGCCCCTGGGGTGTGTGCAGTGGGATTCCATGTCCTAATGACTCATGACACTGAGCCTATGTTCACGTGCCTGTCAGCCACTGTACATCTTCACTGGTGAAATGTCTATTCCAGTAACTTTCCTGGTTCTTAACTGGGTTCTTGTCTTTTTTTTTTTTTTTTTTTTGAGACAGAGTCTCACTTTGTTGCCCAGGCTAGAGTGAATGCCGTGGCATCAGCCTAGCTCACAGCAACCTCAAACTCCTGGGCTCAAGCATCCTCCTGCCTCAGCCTCCCAAGTAGCTGGGACTACAGGCACGCGCCACCATGCCCGGCTAATTTTTTGCATACATATTTTTAGTCGGTCAATTAATTTCTATTTTTAGTAGAGACAGGGTCTCGCTCAGGCTGGTTTTGAACTCCTGACCTCGAGCAATCCACCCGCCTCGGCCTCCCAGAGTGCTAGGATTACAGGCGTGAGCCACCTCGCCCGGCCTTTTCACTTTCTTAACGGTCTCTTTTAAGGCACAAATGTTTTAGGTTTTAATAAAGTCCAATGTATTGACTTTTTTTTTTTTTTGCATTTATAGATGGTGCCTTTGGCATTCTATCTAAGAAACCATTGCCTTGTTCAAGGTCATGAAGACACATACTTGTTTTCTTCGAAGAGTTTTATAATTTTTAGCTTTTACATTTAGGACTTTGATCCATTCCGAGTGAGTCTTTATATACCCGGTGCCGGGCGCGGGTCCAGCGCCGTGGCTCTGCACGTACGTACCCCCGTCCCAGTGCCATTTGTTGAGAAAACCGTCCCTGCCCACTGAACGAGGTCCCGGCACTCTCGTCAGAAACCAGCTGCCCGTGAATGAGAGCGTCTGTTTCTGGACTTTCCAGCACGTTCTCTTGATCTGCGTGTTCTCTTGATCTTCCTCGTGCCCGGCCCGCTGCCTCCGCGGCCCACCGTAGCTTCACAGCGAATTTAGAAGCTGGGGAGCCTGCGTGTTCCCACAGCTGTTCCTGCCGGTGCCCGTGCACAGCCTTCCAGAGCACCAGGGAAGGGCGGGGGGCGGCGGGGGGTCTCGAGCTCTGACCCTCCTGCTAAGCATTCCTGGCTCATCTCTCGGTGAGGCGAAGGATTGGGCTCCTGTTGTGAAAAGGTGGCTTTACTAGCTGTGACCTTGAGCGAGCCGCTCCTGTCTGGGCCCCCTGTCTCCTCCTCCTCCTCTGTGGGGCAGAGGTGACAGGTGACACCAGTGGGCTGCCTCGGGAGGAAGGGGACAGGCCGATGAACAGCAGCCGGCACAGCGCTCGGCGCCGGGTCCAAGCCCGGTTTGAGCGGCGGCGGGGCGGACGCTGTCGTCATAATGCCATCCCATTGGTCTGTCACCCAGAAGGCCGCTGTGTGGGCTGACAGGTGGTGGCAAAACCCAGGCAGAAGCCTTGCAGGGTGAGTCCAAGCCAGACAGAGCGGGGCCAGTAAATCCCCGAGTTGAAAGCAAATAACTTAACTGCCCTGACCTAGAATCAGACCGAGGCTCATTTGCAAAGAAAACAGGATTTGCCAGCTGTTCTAGACGCTGGCCGGGGCAGCTGCAGGGGAGCGGCCCTGGGCTGTGCTCCTGCCACTGCGGGGGCACGGGGGGGGGGGGCGGGGGGCAGCCCTCCCTTCCCAGAGAGGGCCCCCTAAGACCTCTGGGTAACACGCACGCTCTCCCTTCTTTTCCAGCCTGGACAGTCCTCGGGACGGGAAGGCCTTCCGGATCTTCGCGGTCCGGCAGTGACTCCGCGGCGCCGGGGCAGAAGGGGCATCTCCAGCAGTGCTTTGGGGTTTTGCTTTTTATTTTTATTTTTTTATTTGGGGGAGGGGCATATGGAAAGTCAGGAAACTTCCTTCGAACGGCGTTCGGCGTCCGTCCCTTTGCGGCCTCCGGGTGGGTAAGGGTGACATCTCACCCGATCCCCGAGGAGAAGCAGCATCCTCAGGACCTGGGTCCGACCGACACCCGGCGTCCAGTCCTGGGTGCCCTCTCTCCTTCAGGGATCTGGCCCGTCTCTCGAAGGGGACGGTCGCCGAGATGGTCCTCGCCGTATATTCCTTTGTGGGCGGAGGGGGACGTGCCGACGCCCGCCCGGGCTTCCAGGGGTGCAGGAAGGGGCATGTGGAGCAAGTGCAGGGTGAGTTTCAGGAATGGAGTGGAAGGTAGTTATTTAAAAATTAAAAATAATAATAATAATAATAAAACACACACACACAGTCCGTCCCTACCAATGGAAAGAAATGGGGTTCATGTTTGCTGGTCAGACAAACGGGCTAGGCCAGAGACCCGGCTCCGCCCCGGCCCGCGTCCTCGCTGGTGTCCCACTGCACGTCCCAGTTCGGCGGCCACACGCGGGTGGGTCGTGTGTACAGCGGTGCTGGTTTATTTAGAGTTCAGCGGGAACTCCAGAGATTTATCTTGTCTGTGCTGTCCTCTTCGTCCTCACGGCTCAGCCGCTCCCTGCCGTGACCTTTGGTCCCATCGAGGACCGATGAATGCGAATCCTCTCTGTACCCCCTACCCATCGTGGCTCCCGCCCCGCCCCAGAATAGTCCCTGCGTCCTGGTTCACTCCCCGGACTTTGCTTTTGCAAGCGATTCGGCTTGAAGCCCGCTTTTCTCTTAACTCCTGGTCTCGTAAGTTTCCACGGAAGTGCCGGGAACTGCCGGAGGAGGAGGGCTGCCCTGCGGCTGCTTTTTGAAAACGACAATTCAGCGTGCAGATTCCCCTTGCGTCGGGCTGACCTATTTTTCTGCAAGTGGGAGGAGCGGATTCCTGGGCACATTCCTCGCGGAGGTTAGCGGCCCCGTCTGTGGTTACGAAAACCGTCCCTCACGGAGTAAGAGCAGCACGAGGAGGGGACACACTGGAAGGGTTCCTTTTCCTGTTTGTGTGGGAAGAGCCCCCGGGCGCTGCCTGGGCTCCGAGGGGAGCAGCCAGAGCGCTCTGGCTTCCGCCAGGCTGCACAAGTTCTTCCAGAGCCCAGCCCAGAAGCCCGAAGTGAAATGAAAGCTCCCTCTTGTAAATAGCACTTCTTTGCAGAAGGCAGAAGTTCTGCCCTCCACCGGCAGACTCGCCAGTGTTTCCTGAACGCTGGCTTCCAGCTCGATGTCGTCCTCCATCCAGATATTTCCTAGGCAAAAGCACTAGCAGAAGGCAAAAAACCAAGACACTGTAGGCTGGAAAAGGACTCTACCTGGCTGCCTCGGAGGCACCTTCTTTATGTGATTGCCTCCTTCATTAATGCACAATCTGACCATAAGTAGCGCTTTTTTTTTTTTAAACCCTCTAGGGAGTCTGTAAAAAGTAATTAAACTCTGCTTGGCTGAGCAACAATTAGCCAGACTCTCTCTGCCTCGTGCATCACTGCTAGTGATTCCCGGGTCCTGACCGTTCGGCCCCCAGCGTCAGAAGGGGAGGGTGTCGTCAGCCTGTGGGCCCGGTGTCCCGTCAGCACCAGTCATCCGGAATCTGGGCTGTGCCGGGGTCAAGACTGCAGGTAAACGGCAGCCCCTCCTGGGGCTGTCGGGGTTGGTGGGCAGTCCAGGGCACGCCAGTGGGCTCGCTTCTGAAGCATCCCTCCACGGCTGAAAAGCCAGCCTTCCAGTGTGAGTCAGTCCCGCCATGCGGAAACAAAGTCCCCAGGCTCCCCAGCCCCTCCCGCCCAGGGCCCTCGGAACAGGCCGGAAAGACCTGGCCCGGGGCAGGGCCCGGCTGTCTTTTTCACCCCGGGGAACATTTTGAAACTGGAACCATTATTCTTTAGGAAATGAAAGCAAGAGCACACGTTACAAGGGGTAGGGACGAGGGTTACAGAGTGTCCATTGGATACAAAACATCCCTCGTATACAAAATACCCCTTTGCCATCAGGGACCGCCCCTCGTGTCCTATGTGTGAGTGACGGTCCCTCGCACTGTGGCGTCTAACCCAGGTGTGGAGACGTGACCGCCCCACCGAGCCCCCGGCCTCCCTGGGTCTCTCTCCTGCCCCCACACCGCCAAGTCCCGGCTTCTCGCGGAGTTTCGCCCTGTCCTGTTCTGAAGTGTGTGCTGCAGGCCCACTCGGCCCGCGGTCTACGTGTGTGCTTTTTTCTATGAAAAATGATGTATTTTGCTACTTCCTGTGTACAGACGTGTATTGTGAATGTTTTCTGTGCTTCGAGCAGGGGCCACCTTGTTGCAAGCGTTTCAATAAAACCGGTCTGATTTCTAAAGTGTTTCTGTGACGTGTCTGTTATGGACAGTTGGGGACAATTTGTGAAATAAAGCATCTGACGCTGCCTCGCTGGCTCTCAGCTATTCCGCGTGTGCCTTTTCTGCCGGGATGTCACCTGTGCTCGGAGACGCTGCCTACAGCGCCGCAGTCCTGGCCAGCGGAGTCCCCACCCACCCCACGGTGGGAAGAGATGTCAGAGTGTGCGGTCACGGGGTGTGGGGAGCTCGCCAACACGCACGCTCTGGTTACGCCAGTTGGGGCCGGGGCCCGGGACTCTGCATTTCTTTCTTTCTTTTTTTTTTTTTTTTTTTGAGACAGAGTCTCACTCTGTTGCTGGGCTAGAGTGAGTGCCGTGGCGTCAGCCTAGCTCACAGCAACCTCCAACTCCTGGGCTCAAGCGATCCTCCTGCCTCAGCCTCCCGAGTAGCTGGGACCACAGGCATGCGCCACCATGCCCGGCTGATTTTTTTTTTTCTACATAGTTTTAGTTGGCCCATTAATTTCTTTTCTTTTTTTAATTTTTTAATTTTTTTAATTTATTTTTTTCCCTTTACTCACCTTAGTCAAGCATAATTTTTTTTTTTAGTAGAGATGGGGTCTTGCTCTTGCTCAGGCTGGTCTCAAACTCCTGAGCTCAAACGATCCTCCGGTCTCGGCCTCCCAGAGTGCTGGGATGACAGGCATGAGCCACCGCGCCCGGCCCACTCTGCGTTTCTTACAATGTCCTTGCCTATCCCTAGGTCATACTCTGAGTGCTGATGGCTCAAGCTCATCCTGTCACTGTCTTAGTCTGCCCGGGGCTGCCCTAATCAAATACCACAGACCGAATGTGGCTTAACCCAGCGGCCCCCAACCTTTCTGGCACCAGGGACTGGTTTCGGTTTCGTGGAAGACAATTTTTCCACTAGAAGCCCAAGGCGCTATCGCTCACGGCACAGAGCTCCTGGGCTGGGTGCTTTGGCTGCAGACGACAGAAACTGTCCCAGCTGGTCCTGTCAGTGCTAAAGCAGCGGTTCTGAGCACGGCCCATGCCAGCAGCCTCAGCCTCAGCGGGGACTTGCTAGAAATGCAGATTCCCGGGCTCTACCCCAGACCCCCTGCGTCAGAGCGCCTGGGGTGGGGCCCCGCACCCTTGAGACCAGTCCTGGGTGGGGGGAGTCTGGTGCATGCTCCAGGGGCAGCAGCCCGGCAACACCAGGACACCCGGCCAGCGTGGCTACAAGCTTCGTCACGGGACAGCCCCACACCGAAGGCTGTCCCCACCCGACTGAGTCTGAGACAGGAAGAAAGGAAGATGAGCGGAAGGGGCCATCTCCCCACAGTGTTCTCTCCTTATCAGAGGGGAAAATCTTCCCCAGCGTCCCCCCGCTGGCTGCTTTGATGTCCCTTTCATCTCTCCTGGGCCGCAAGCCCATAACTAGCTCTATCGCGAGCCGCAGTTGAAAGATCAGGAGTGCTTTGATGGGAAAAAAAATCGTGAGAGCTGCCTTTATAAATGTAAAGATTCAGGCCGGGGCGCGGTGGCTCACGCCTGTAACCCTCGCATTCTGGGAGGCCGAGGCGGGCGGAGTGCTCAACGTCAGGAGTTCAAGACCAGCCTGAGCAAAGAGTGAGACCCGTCTCTACTAAAAAACAGAAGAAATTAATTGGCCACTAAAAACATATAGGAAAAATTAGCCAGGCGTGGTGGTACGTGCCTGTAGTTCCAGCTAACCAGGAGGCTGAGGCAGGAGGATCGCTTGAGCCCAGGACGTATTGAAGGTTGCTGTGAGCTAGGCTGACGCCACGGCACTCTAGCCTGGGCAACAGAGTGAGACTCTGTCTCAAAAAAAAAAAAAAAGCCCCTCCCTGATTCTGAGTCCCAGCGTACGCCCTCCGTCCCCTCCTCTGCCCACCTGGCACCCAGGAGAGGGGTGACTCGGAGCTGTGGCATCCTGAATCCTCCCTCCATGGCTGCTCTGTTCTAGAAAAACTAGAACCTCTGCAGTCCGTAGGTGGTCCTGAAACCGTTCGGTTTGCCGGGTTGGGTTTTGGTTGGTCTGTTCTGTGTAGCCACCTTCCTTCAGACTTTTCACGCCAAACCCAAACCCAAACCTGTCTTAGCCTGCCACAGGGGCTTAAAAAATCTTTTGGACCCTTTAAAAGAAAATAAATTTGGTGCTGAAGGCAGGCATGGGTTTTGAAAACCTCCAACATTCCTTTTACCCTCTCATCTTGGCTGTGGCAGCCGGCGGCGGCGGCCTTCATCCAAGAACCAGGGAGACGGCCCTCGGGCCAAAGCCCTCGGTCAGCCCCTGGCCGGCTCCAAGATGGGCGACGTCCTCCCCAAGGGCCCTGGCTGCCACCACGCTGGGCGGGAATGGGCTCCCGGCTGACCTGCTTTCACCTTCGGACACCAGCAGTGGCCGTGGTCTGAAGGATGTCCCCTCTCCGCCCACGGCCACCAGCCTGGGCCCAGTGCCCCCGTGGCCTGATACAGGAAGACGGCAAAGGAATTCACCTGTGCCAGGTGCGCCAGGTGCCAGGTGGGCGCCGAGCATGTGCTGTTTCATTTAATACGCGCACGTCCCTTCCGAGGACTTGCAGGTTCTCAGATGCCAGTTCAGTCATGCGTGTCCAAGTCCCCAGTTAGGAATGTGCTTGGCTGCATGTGACAGAGGCCCAGCCACAGGGGGAGGGGGCAGTCCACGGTGCCACGCCGGGGAAGCCGCCAGTGCCCGGGTTCCTTCCACTTCCCGCTCGGCCCCTGCCTGGCGTCCTCTGCACGTGGCATTTGTCCTGCTACACACAGCTTGTTACTGATACTTCTGCCATTTTTGAACCAGCCCTTGGCTTTCCCGGGATTGTTTCTCCTCTGAAGCTGCCACCCCCGGCCTTCACTTCGGCCACTGCTCTGCCCGCTCCTCCCCTAGGGAAGGGAGGCCACCTCGGATCGGCAGGAACAAAAGCCTTGAGTTTCGCTTGTGAGTTTCTGAACAGATTTTTTTTTTTTAACTTTTTATTTTGACATAATTTCAGGCTTGCAGAACACTTGCAAGAAATAGTACCAAGCACCCCCGACCCCCTTCATTCAGACCCCTCAGATATTAACGTTTTATTGGATTTACTTCATCATTTTCTGTCCCGATCTCTTTTCTTCTCTAAATTATTTAAGAGGAAGTTGTAGACATGAGACTCCTTTTATGTCTAAAGTCTATGTTTCCTAAGAACAAGGACTTTCTCTTCCCACAAGACGTTCTCTCACTCGGACATGGTGCAATTCTGGGTCAGGAAATCGACGTGGCCGCAATAGGTTAGCTCATCTATGGCCCCACTCGGTGCCAGCGGTGGTCCTTCCTTTATGGCAAAAGAGAACCTTGGGTCATGAGCCGCATCCAGTTTTTTCTTTTTTTTTTGAGACTTGCTCTGTCTCGCTCTATTGCCCGGGCTAGAGTGCCGTGGCGTCAGCCTAGCTCACAGCAGCCTCAAACTCCTGGGCTCAAGCGATCCTCCTGCCTCAGCCTCCAGAGTAGCTGGGACTACAGGCGTGCGCCACCATGCCCGGCTGATTTTTTCTATATATTTTTAGTTGTCCAGCTAATTTCTTTCTATTTTTAGTAGAGATGGGGTCTCGCTCCTGCTCAGGCTGGTCTCGAACTCCTGACCTTGAGCGATCCTCCTGCCTCGGTCTCCCTGAGTGCTGGGATTACAGGCGTGAGCCGCCGCGCCGGGCCTTGCATCCCGTTTTCATGTCTCATTAGTGTCCTTCAGTTTGGAAACTTTCCATTTATCTTTGCCTTTTGTGATGTTGATTTTTTCTTTTTTTTTTTAAGATTACTGGCCAAATGTTTTGTAGAATTTCCCTCAGATGGAGTTTGCCCAGTGTTTCCTCGGTGTGAGATGCAGGTTTTAGGTTTTTGGCAGAGAGACCACGGAAGGGACGCCATGTCCTCTCTGCCTCCTATCGGGGCCGCGTCTGTCTGTCCTGTTCTCGTGGCTGTCAGTTCTGATCGCTCAGTCAAGGCGCCTGCCAGCTCTCCCCATTGCAAAGTTCCTAAATTTTAACATAAAATACTTCTGCAGGGATGTGTTGAGACTATGTAAATACCCTGTTCCCCATAAAACCATCACCACCAGCTGGGGTTTGCCTCTATTGATAACCCTTGCCTGAAACAAGCATTTTATGACGGTCGCCATTCGGTGACTTTTCTGCTTCCACTGTTCCTAACGTGTTTATTGACTGGCTTTGTGCTGTAGGGAAACGGTTTCCCTTCTCCCCCATTTGTTTATGAACTCACACACGCGCATATACGTGTGTACCGATTCACACGTGTGTGTCTATGTTATATCACTGATGTACAATGTCCACATACATACACACGTATGCAGGTGTGGACATTAATTGGTCTTGTATGCACTGGCTACGATGCTTCACTGTCGATTTTATTTGGATGCTCACGTCGTCCCAGATTTCAAGAGCGGGAGCTCCGTCCAGCTGGCTCCTGAGCCCTCCAACGTGGCCCCGTCATTTTGAGGACTCCCCGACTTTCTGGCACAACACGATGTTCCCGGCTCATCTTGTCCTGTCCTTGCCCAGCCCTGGAATCAGCCGAGTCTCCCAGGATCCCTGGTCCCTTGCGGCGGAGAACGGTCTCTAAACAGACACACGACACTCTCTGGCAGGGAGACGGGTTGAGAGCAGAGAGGCTCGTGTCTCCAAAACATCTGATCGGGGTGAGGCTGGTCCCTCTCCATGCTGGGCCCCATTGTGGGAGAGCCAAAGCCTAAAACCAGATGCTGGCAACGGTCTGGCGGCCCCACAATCCCGAGAGGCAGAGCCCCTCCCGCTGTAGAAACTTCCAGAATCTGACACGCACTTTCCCAGGCTCCCTTGCTGCTCGGGTGCTGTGGCCCCGTGACTTTGAGCTGGGGGCCTCTGGTGCAAGGAGGGGGGGCAGAGGCTCTCTCAGGGCAGCCGTGGGGGCTTCAGGGCAGCGGTAGGGATGCCAGGTTTGGCGAAAT